TACTAGCCTCAATACAAATGCACCACACACAAATTCTCATTCACATTAAATGGTATCCACCGCCACCCCATACTTATAAATTAAACATAGATGCTTCCTTGGGTAACCATAAGACTGGAGGCATTGGGGGCATTATAAGAAATAGTCAAGGGGACATGATGATAGGCTTTGCTAACAAAATCAAAGCCTATAACTCTACCCATGCAGAATTACTAGCACTTCATGCAGGGCTAAAGCTGGCTAACCACAAAAGGCTAGTCCCACTGGAGATTGACACTGATTCGACGGACATAATTCAACTACTTGAACATAATAGCTTTCCTGCCTATACTAACACTATCTTTGAATGCAGGTACTTGTTGAAGAGATTGGGGAATCCAGTGGTCCGGCATAGCTTTCGCGAAGGTAATAAGGTGGCGCACGTTTTGAGTAAATTGGGTTCCAAACAACAACAACCAACCTCTACTACAACTATTTTGAACTCCCCTCCAGACCAGTCAAGAGGATGATCCAAGAAGACAAAAATGAAGTATCTACTACTAGACTAGTATCAAGCTCCATATGTAATACGCTAGAAATGTTTGAAAACCTAAGTATTATTCCTACTATTACTAATAGTGATGTAATGCCACTGTTACCTTTATTAATGAAATTATCCATTTCTCCAAAAAAAAGTATTGATGATAAGTGATCGATTCGATCTAGAATAAGACTTTACTTCATTCCATTGGGATATTCACGAAAAGATCAAAATATAAAATAATATCTTTTTCAAAGTTGAAGTGATCAAGAGACGTTCTTCTTCAAGATCGACTCAAAATACAACCGGACGCTTCTTGATAATTATATACTTCAAGAAGAAGATCTACACAATGCTCGACTTTTATGGAGATCAAATACAATATAGCAGGGAGGTCCGTGCCTACGTTCGAGAAATATGTTCATCTAACTCTTGAATCACGGGGGACAACCGGAAGAAGAATCAAGGGAACAAATAGAATTGAACCTACAAAGATTCATCAATAAAATTATTTTTCTCAAAAAGGAAATTAATTGTAGTATTTATTTTATGTAATTTTTAAACAACAAATTCTTTAAAAATATATTGGTTAAATATACATATTGCGAAGCAATATTATTCGGAATATTAAAGGGATTTTTTCATTCCTATACATTATTTGAAATTTTACTACCCTTAATGTCCATGTTTAGTTAATTACCCGGCATAAACAAGTTTTATTATATCATCCACCTTAAAAGGCTCTCAATCCATTATTTGTGCCTTCAATCAAGGGATGTAGTTACACCATTTTCCTTTTTTTTCTCCTCCTCTCTTTCCTTATGTTTATAAGCTAGAGCAAAAGTAAAAATATCACCAGAGCCTGGTCACCAGAAGTATTTGGTTGCTACTGTGTTGCGGAATTGTGCATCCAATAGCCAGGACCAATTACAACTATAAAGTAGTAATATTCCGTCATGACGCTAAGATTTTATCAACTAATTGCTACTTATTGCTACAAATTAAGGTGAGTGGCTAGTTATCCTCCATAAGCTTCAGCAACAAGAATATTTTATCTTGATTATATGAGCAATTTTTTCTAGCCAAGAAATTTCGTCGTTGATGTTAATGCCAATGTTGTTAACTCGTGAATTTTCATTTCAGTAGGTTGTAACTTGCGAATGTTCATGAACAAATGGTCTCTGTTTCATGCTGCGTGACAATACATACAGTGGTCACTTTGGTAAATTCAGCAGCCATAGGCTTTCTTCTCCAACTATCATCGTGACTACTGAATCTGGTATACCATGATCATCACTTCTGCTTTGTCCACCATGAGAATGTCTCCACTGAAGTTCATCAATATTTGTTTAATAAAGGAAAAATCATGAAATTAAAATATCAGAAACATTGCAAACAGACACCTTGACATGTCAATGGGTAGTGATTGAATATTAAAGAATTACTGCAAGTCAAAAATCTCCAATTGAGTACGAACATGTCAATGGGTAGTAATGGAATATTCAGTTGTCAGTTTGTTAACATATTAGGAATTTGTTTATATATATGCACACAATTTATTTATGGGAATTTTTTCGTACACTATCCAGTTAAATACAGCTACAATAACACACAACTTAAATATAAATTTTATACAAAATTTATACAATATGTCTTTTGTATATTTTGTATCTGATTTATATATAGTAAAAATAAATTTCATACAACTAATTATATATTATACAATTTATCTACAACTTATCTACAACTTTCACATATTACTTCTACCCAATTAAATACAATTATAATAACATACTACTTAAATACAAATTTTATACAATATATCTTTTGTATATTTTGTATCTGATTTATACATAGTAAAAAAATAAATTTCATACCACTAATTATATATTATACAACTTATCTACAATTTTCATACATTATTTCTGCTCAGTTATATACAACTACAATATCATACAACTTAAATATAATTTTTATACAATGTTGTTCAACTTTCATACAATAGTTAAATAAATAAAAGAAAAATATATAAACAATAGAATACAATTTTACTACAATTTCGTAAATATAATGTACATCATGTCTTCTTCTTCTTCTTCTTCTTCTTCTTCTTCTTCTTCTTCAAGTTTCAATCTGAAATTCAGTCAAACCCAAGTCTAATCTTCACCAAAACCCCTCAAAATTGAGATATAAACTCCAAACTATATTCCCAATTGTTTGCAACAACACTCAATCCAAACAAATAATGATTTTTGAAAACCCAAATTCGAATTCAAAGCTTCAAAGCTTTTTAATGTCTGTCAATGGTGGAATTGCTGCTCTATTTTCCTTTGCTTTACATTACTGAAATAAGGGATTGAGAGATAGAGAGAGGCGTAGAGAGAATTCTCAATTCTTTGCAACAACATCCAATTCAAACAAATAATATTTTTTGAAAACCTAAATTCGAATTCAAAGCTTCAAAGCTTTTTAATGGTTATCAATGGTAGAATTGTGGGTGGGTACAAGATACGTGGGGGAGGGGGAGGGATGTGGAGAGAGAAACGTGGGGGAGTGGAAGATCTGTTAGAGTAATTTTAGGACACTGATTACTATTATTAATTCTCTTAAAATGTACATAAATGGCAATTGGGTATATAAAATGTAATTATAGTAAAACTTGAGGAGGGAGGGTAATATAGTTTTATATAGTGTATAGGAATGTAAAAACTCCAATGGGATTTTTTTCATTCCTATACACTATTGGAAACTTTATTACCCTAAATGTTCATGTTTAGTAAATTACCCTACCTACACAAGTTTTGTTTACAAAATGTATACATTCCACCTTAAAAAGCTCTCAATCCATTATAAGTACCTTCAATTAAGAGATTTAGTTATACCCTTTACGTTTTTTTTCTCTTTCTTCTCTTTCCTTATTTTTCTGATGCACTATACTAATCGTGCTTGATCATATCCAGGAGAGAATTCGGTGTATTAATACTAACATTTTTGCCGCATTTCATGCATGGTTGGATCCCAGTTGGCCAATCCTTGAAAATTGAATATGATCATAAGCAAAAGTTAATCAATTGCACTCGTTTGACACAATTTAAAAATCTCATGCAAAAAAGACATTTCCTTTGTTCTTACGTAACTTTGCCTTTTTCACTTCTGTTATCCTAGCTCTCCCACTAATAGGGTATAGTCAAAAGAAACAAAACTAACACTCAATAGATAGTAAGTATTTAAATGATACCTTTTGCTAGAGAATATCTCTGACCAATACATCGCAATCTCAAACAACACTCTCGCAAACCCACCCTTGAATTTATCGACTGATTTGTCATAAATAACATATTTGACCTAATTATAACATCACATGCATATACGACGTGGTATCATCACATTGATTATATCTTGTGTTTATAATTATAATATTTACGTGGAACTACTACTGGCACACCATCAACCCTTTAATACTCTTTAATGTACAACATGTTACTCCTCCATTGTTGGTACATACATGCATGGAGCTGCGCACCTCATATTACTCAACCCTACAATATTCATTACAAATTGAATACTTCGGTTTGCATCACAATTATATCTTTACTAAGATATGTGGATTTTCTGATCGTGTACGTAGTCTGAATTTGTTAGGTGGTGTAAGTAACTTGACTACGAAAGAGGTTGACGGGTCTTAAGGTGCATTAAATAAGTTTTTAAGAATTCTTTTTTTTAAAAAAAGGAGCTTTAGAATTTCACAAGGATTGGACTTTTTCAAGTTTCTATTTAATTGTGGAAAAGAGAAGTTAAATACAGTACAATATATTCCATAGTCATTTTATGTGTGGAACAACTTTTACCAACTTTTGTGGGCGTCCATCAAGATTGAAAAGGGTAGTGGCCCAATATTTTGATTTTAAATTTTTTTCTAGGAATCTTTATGCAAATAGGTAACTGGATTTACTGTTGTACATGTCCGAACAGGTATACATATATTATACATGATTATATGCAAATTATATATGAATTATACATATAATAAGTTATTGCCGGCTTTTTTTAGTTTAAATGGTTGTATCGTGAATACTCCTTCCGTTCACTTTTAGCTGGCACGTTTTAACTTTTCACGCTCCTTAAGAAATAATAAATAAAGTTCATAATTTACCATAATACCCATATTAATTGATGCATATTTTATTGGATTTGAAAAAATAATTTGAAATGAGTAATAAATACTGTAGGTATAACGGGAAAAAAATTTGTTGATATGCGTAAAGTGACGAGTAAAAATGAAAATCTATTTTTGCGCACTAAAAAAAGTAAACGGAGGGAGTAGCTATTTAAGTTAATTTTGGCAACGTGGGAAAATAAAGGGTGGCCCTTTTGCATCTTGGTGGGGCCAAACATCACAAGAAAGCATTCTTGCAAAAGTGCTATTCTTTAAGTAAAACTTTGGCAACAGAGCATATTGTAGCATAATCTCTGCTTTGCATGGGGTCAAAGAAGAATTTTCACTCATCATTTGAGAAAATAACGAACATTTTTCTTCCTTTTTTTTTTCTGAGAAAACTTGGGCATTACATAGTCTTCTACTAAAGATAGAACAAGAAACATACCTTAAATCCACCAATACAACACATGCTACTTTTTCCAGATCACCCTTCAGCTGCAAACAAACCTAACCTAGAAACCCAAATTTCTAAAAGAACCTAAAAATAAATAAAAATAAAAATAGCACTACAGAAGCTCCAAAAGTTCCCTTCACCCATTTCATAATTCTTCTTTCTTCTTTTACTTTTTCATTTTGGATTCAAGTCAAAATGGAGCTCAAATAGTGCTATTTATAGAAAGTTGAAAAACAGGGCTAGAGGGTTTAATTTTTCATTTTTTCCAAGGTGGGGGGCAAGATTGTTGATAAACCTAGTAATAGCAGAATGTGATAGATTCTTGACTATAGTCTAACTGATATTCCTCCTAGTAGTCTTGTTCTTCTCATACATAACATCAAGCAAACAAGTACTCTTGCATTTAGGGCATCTTGGATCATTAACTTCTGCTAACATAACATACATGAGGCACCGTGGACAACCAACCAACACCATTGAAGTAATTGTTTCTGGGCTGTCGGAATAACGTTGAACGGCGGAGGAATCATCGGACGACACGCATGAACTCGTCGGCGACGCCGTCAACGACCTGCTCGGTGATTCCACTTGTGGGTGGTTGATCACTCGTGGTGGTGACAAATTCAGCTTTAGATCAAGCTCACCATTTCCATTTCTTCGGCTCATGGCTAATTGTACTTGTAATAAATATGATTTCTTTTCTTCTTCTTTTTTGAATAATCTCCCCTGTCAAATAACGAAAATCCAAAAAAATAAATAAATAACATGGAAAAAAGGAGTTCAACTAATATGACGGAGTAAAAAAAATTTTACACTATCAAGTCACTTAAAAGTTAACTTCTTATAGCAGGTATGGATTGATAACCAACAAATCACGGCAAATAAGGGCAACTCAGTGCACTAAGCTCCCGATATACACGGGGTTTGAGAAGGGCCGGACCACAAGGGTCTATTGTATGCAGTCTTATACTGCATTTCTGCCGGAGGCTGTTTCCACGAATTGAACTTATGACCTCTTGGTCACACGACAGCAACTTTATCTGTTACGCCAAGACTTCTTTCCCAACAAACCACGGTAAATGATTAATTAAAATAGGTAAAATTATATTGATAGTGTAAAAATGATATGAAAAAACGATTAGTATTTTTTACGTGATCATCAGAAGAACTTGTATTACCTTAAGATTGAGAAATCTTTCGCCACCCTAAAGGAAGTGATGAGGGCTAGCTCTTCTAATTCAAAGGTGGAGTAAGGGTGGTTGTGATGGAAGAAAGGGACGGCGGTAGCCGGAAGGTTACAGCGGTGATCGGCGAGGCACCAAGGGAAGTAACCGGAACCACCTGCAGCACGGCTAAACTACTAAGATGAACAAGTGGAAGTTGTTGTGGTCCTAGTTGATGATCTTGGACTTGTAAAGACATATTATATAATGGGAACTATAGAGCGGAGAGATGGGATTGCTTTAAAAGCTTAATTAAATTATAAGACGGACGAGTTGGAAGAGAGAGAGAGAGAGAGTTAATAGGAAATCAATTGAATGAATTGAAAGAGGAAGTGTAGAAAGGAGAGAGAGGAGTAAATTGAGGGGCAGGAAAATGTATTAATGGTTGGAGAAAATCCCAAGATAGTTTGCTCAAAATGGAAAATTGGAGTAAATATTTGCAATTAAAACTAATAAGTGCATGCAGTGCAGGGAAATTAAAGGGGCTGGTAGAGGGGAGGTAATTCATTATGGTCAATGTATGAAAGGTGTAAATAGCCATTGACACTGTGTGTTTGTGTGTGTTTCTTGATAAAGCTATACATATAGAACAAATACAAACACAAGAAAAGCCATAGATGCCTTTAAAGCGCCAACTAAATTTTCTAACAAATCCAACCTCACTCATATTAATTTTCAATAGCTATCCATATTTAATAAATTCTAGAGTTGCGTATCATGATGGACTTGTTAATTAGTTAATGTGAAATGAATAAGTGTTGAACACATCTTTTCCATTCTTTTCAATTTTCTTTACAAAAACAACTACTCACTATTAATTCCAATCAAATTGCGATTGGTTATATATATGAACCTTCGCTAATTATGTTCTCCTTCTGGCTCAAATATTCTATCGTAATTTTTAAAAATAAGTGTCTCGGATTATTTGTTATTTTAGAAGTTCTAGACAAAATCAATTATTTTTTTTCTCATTTTATCCTTAGTACTAATTGTTCTTGAAGATGGAGATGACACATAAATAGAATAAATATTTAATAAAGAGATATTTTATTTTAAAACACAAATAGAGGTAAAATAGTCAAAAACACATTCTAATTAATGTTTCTTAAGGGTCGTGCAAAAGAGAAATAGGACAGATAATTTAAGACGAGGGAAATATTTCTTTAAAATAAAAATACTTTTTCCTTCTTCCTCTTTTTCCTTTTTTTCCTCTGATACAAAGGTATATATACCGAGTATACTTAATTATATTATGTGTGTGTATTGTTACTTAAATAAATATGGCCTAATAACACTTTTGTGGCGATTTATTATGAATTATTATTTCATAGAAAATATATGCATATACATTTGTGTCGCCGCCAAAAGTTTTGATATAAGCGGCTCCATTCGGTCCATTTTAATTTTTTTTTTTTGTTTTCACACATATTAAGAAATTTACTTTTTAGCATTAACTAATAATAAAATTGACCATATTAACTTTAATTTGTTCCTTAAAAATATAATAAATACTCCTAGACTCTTTACTTCAAGGAAGCCTTGAAAAAAAAAATTACGTCCTTCTTTATATATGAAGCAATCAAATATTATGGACTACAACAAAACACAAAAAATTTATTAAAGTGGACCGAAGAAAATACTATTATTCTAATACTGGCGCACTGTATTTTCAAGTTTAGTGTTCAATATTATTTATTGCAGTTTAATACATGGCAAAAATCACCCGTTGCGATGACCCGATAGGTCATTTTATGATTTAAAACCAAATTTTGGGTTCCGAGGCCTTTAAAACCTCATTCTATCCCTTCTTGATTTACATGCGCAGTCTGGGCGAGTTTTCGGAAAGCTTCTATGTTGAAAGTTGATGAAAATAATAATTTTTGCCTTTAAAAGTTAATTTAGTTGACTTCAGTCAATATTTTGAGTAAACAGACCCGAACTCATATTTTGACAGTTCTGGTGGGTCCGTATAGAATTATGGGACCTAGGCGTATGCCCGGAATCGAATTCCGAGGTCCCTAGCTCGAGATATGAATTTTTGATGAAAATTAAAAGTCTGAAAATTAAATGGTTTTAAAAATTTGGTTAATGTTTGATTTTGTTGGAATGGGTCCATAGTTTAGTTTCGGAGCCCGGTACAGGTCCATTATGATATATTAGACTTATTTGTAAAATTTGGTGAGAAACGGAGTTGGTTTGACGTGATTCGAATGTCCGGTTGTGAAAATAGAAATTTTAAATGTTCTTGGGAATTCATGTAATTTGGTGCTAAATTCGTAGTTCAAGGTATTATTTTGGCGATTTGATTGCACAAGCAAGTTCAATTGATGTTTTTAGACTTGTGTGCATGTTTGGTTTGGAACCCCGAGGGCTCGCATGAGTTTCGGATATGCCACGGGGTGATTTGAAACTTAGAAAATAATTGTTGGTGTTCTTCAGTCTTGTAGCAGGCCTAAGACCTCGCAAATGCGAGGTCAAGCTTCGCATTTGCGACCACTGTTTGGTTTGGATTTGCGAGCTTCTCATCGCAAATGCGAAGAGAAGCTGGGCCAGCCTATGTTCGCAAATGCGAACAATCGTTCGCATTTGTGATGGGGACAGGGGGGAAGGTAGACTTCGCATTTGCGACCATTTGATCGCATTTGCGATTAGCTCAGTCTTCGCTTTTGTGAAGGAAGCAAGAGTGTGCGAGACCTCACAAATGCAATGGTTTTCTTGCATTTTCGAGCTTCACAATTGCGATGCTCAGGTCGCAATTGCGATATCTACAACTGTGTAAAACCTAACTTAGACGGGATTTTTGCTTATTTCTCAAAATTTTCAAAATAAGAAACCCTCTATGCGATTTTCCAAAGACCATTTCTTCCTGAAATTGTAGGTAAGTGATTCTTAACTCGTTTCTTTCAATATTTCACTTCATTTTACAAGATTTCAACCTAGAATCTAAGATTTTCATGATGGAATTGGGGATTTTTGGGTAGAAACTTAGAATTTTGAAATTTGGGGATTTAGACCTCAAATTGAGGTCGGATTCCAAAATTAATTATATATCCGGGCTCGGGGGTGAATGGGTAATCAGGTTTTGGTATGAATTTTGAGTTTGGACCAAGCGGGCCCGGGTGTTTACTTTTGTTGACTTTTTAAAAAATGGCCTAAATTGATTCCTTGCAATCGTGGGTAGTTCCTAAGGCTAAAATTGAATTGTTTGGTTAGTAATTTGCTAGATTCTATTAGTCCGGAGGCTTGTGTAAAGGGAAAAGTGGTGATTGAGCTTTGAGTTTGGTTGTTGGAGCGAGGTAATTATCGTGGTTAACCTTAGCTTGAGGGATTAGATATTATTTGCTTACTTGCTACGTGTTTGGATGTTGAGTACAACGTATAGGTGAGGTGACGAGTACTTATGCGTTGTTGTAGAGTCATAGTATGTGAGTGAGTCTTATTCTTATAAATGTTATATTCTTGATCATATTGTTCATGTTTAGATCAGCTATTCGATGTGTTGAGAAATTTTTTATTATGTTTTAATGAATTTGGTATTGATTGAGTATTGACTCAAAGCTGAGGTTGGTATTGTGGAACTAAGTGTTGAAGTAAGACTTGTTGTTGTCATTTCTATCTCCCTATTATTGTTGTCCGTTGTTTTAGTGAGGGAGAGTGTTAAAGCACGAAGGGTGATGTCGTGCAATATTTTATGAGTGAGTGATAAAGCATGAAGAGTGATGTCGTGCACGTTTCTATTATTTATTATGGTGAGGTTGAGTGATAAGGCACGAAGGGTTATGCCATGCACATTTCTACTATTTTATATGGTGAGGTTGAGAGTAAAAGTACGGAGGGTGATGTCGTGCCGTTTTTATTGATTATCTAGTGAGGTTGAGAGTAAAAGCACGAAGGGTGATGCCGTGCATTTTCCATTGTTGTGTTTACTTGTTATTACTGGTTCAAGGTGTACTAGCTGTTTAAATTCCTCTACTGTTGTGCTTCTTTATCTTGCAACCCCATTAGCATGATTCCCCTCCCGTTACTATCTGTTCAGCTTCTATTATTTGTTATTGTGCTAGTATATTGTTTAACTACACAGGTTTATACATGTGTCTTGTCCTATCATCGTCACTACTTCGCCGAAGTTAGGCTCGGCACTTACTAGTACACGGGGTCGGTTTCTGCACTCTACACTTTTTGTACAGATTTCGGTACTGGACCGTGTTGACCAGAGTTGAGCTACTGACTTCAATCCCACAAGAGACGCAAGGTAGATCTGTCGGCGTTTGCAGACCCTGGAGTCCCCTTCCAGTTATTTCAGTTTAATGTTTCTTTTAACTCGAAAACGATTGTACTTTCTTTCAGCCAATATTTGTAGTAACTTTTAGAAGTTTGTGGATTATGACACCAGATTCTGGGTAGTTGTGTATAAGTATTTGTGTTATTATAAAATTCTGCACTCCTTTAATCTGCTATGGTTTAATCGTTGTTATTCACTGAATTATTTAAGAGTTAACGTATTAATCTCTAATTTTTGCCTTGCTTAGCAACTGAAAGGTTAGGCGCCATCATGGTCCCGACGGTAGGGAATCCGGGTCGTGAAAAGTTGGTATCAGAGCACTAGGTTGTCTAGGTCTCACAATTCACGAGAAAACTTAGTAGAGTCTGAAGGATCGGTACGGAGACGTTTGTACTTATCTTCCAAAGGCTATGGAGTTAGGAACAGTTTCACTTCTATTCTTCTATGTCGTGCGATTTTGTTCTCTGAATGCTAATTAAACTCTCTACTCTTGCTCCTTCGCATATGGCGAGAACATGTACCACTTCATCAACTGAGAAGTAGCCAGAGCCCCTAGTGGTAGCTCCTACGAGGGGCAGAGGACGAGGCCAAGGCCGTGCTAGAGGTCGAGGCAGGGGCAGGGCTCAGCCTAGAACTCGAGCAACAACACTAGTAGCGGAGCCTCAAGTAGAGTTTGATGAAGAGGCTCCAGCCCAGACCGTTCCAGCAGGGCCAGCTTAGGTTCCAGAGGGGTTCATAGCCACCCCAGTGCTTCATGCTGCTTTGGTCCGTCTAGTGGGCCTTATGAAGAGTATTGCTCAGACTGGCACATTTCCGACAGCACCAGCCATCTCTCAGGTTTGGGGAGGAGCATAGACTCCCTCCACCCACACTCTGGAGCAGATGGCTCTTCAATTTCAGACTCCAACAGCTCAGCCAATTGGGGCAGTTTCGCCGAGTGTTGCAGCACAGACCGGTAACGGATCAGCTATGTCTTCTGAGGCTTTGTGGAGATTGGATAGGTTTACCAAGATCTTCTAGTTCACTATGGAGGTACATGTTCAGAGGATCCCCAAGACTATCTGGACAATTTTCATGAGGTGTTACGGAACATGGGGATAGTGGAGACCAATGGGGTCGACTTTGCTGCATTTCATCTGTCAGATTCTGCCAAGAAATGGTGGAGGGATTTTATGTCGGCCAGACTAGCTAGGTCGCCGGCTCTTACTTGGGACCAGTTCTCTCAGCTATTCTAGATAAGTATCTTCATATCACTCGGAGAGAGGACTATCGGAGGCAGTTCGAGCGTCTGCAGCAGGGTTCTATGACTGTCACTCAGTACGAGACTCGATTTGTGGATCTGGACTGTCATACTATTATCCTGCTTCCTATCGGGAGAG